CACTCCTGATTTTAATCAATGACTGTTTAAGCAAAGGGACTGCATTGCACATAGAGGAGAGGTCATACTGTCTCTTTGTTAAGTCTGTGGGGGAACATGCCCATCTCTATTTATATAGTAAGTGGGGGAGGGGGGTAGTGGACACGTTCAGGCAGACAGGTTTTAACACAGAGAAAAAGTAATTTTGGCCTGTCCCCAGAAAGCTGGGAACAAAACGGGCCTTTCTGTCTAGAAAGGTGTTAGGGAATTATGGGATACTAGCCATCCCATGCCACGGGTTGCTGTGGCCCAGTCTGTGTATATGTGTTTTGTGTGTCTATATATGTGTGTATATATGTATATATGTGGCTTTGTGTATGCGCTGTAATTTTTTTTTTTTTGGCTCTTCCGCTGTGTTTTTCAGTGTTTTTATGAGTGGTCATTCATTGGCCTGATAGGTGTATTGTGCCCAAATTTGGTGTCAATTCACCCAGTGGATTTGGGTTATGTTAATCCCACAAACGAGCATTACATTTTTATATAGATGTGGCAGCAGTGGAATAATTCTCAGAGGACACATTCAGTCAGGCTTCAACACAGAGAAAAAGTAACTTTGACCTGTCCCCAAACCACTGGGATCAAACCACCAATCTCTCTTTCCAGGTTGTTAGAGAATGATGGGAGTTGCAGAAATAGTGGAATAATGCTCAAAGGACACATTCAGGCAGGCAGACAGGCTTCAACACAGAGAAAAAGTAACTTTGGCCTGTCCCCAAAATGCTGGGAACAAACCGGGCTTCTCTGTCCAGAGAGGTGATAGGGAATGATGGGAGATGTAGGACTGCAATTATGCTCAAATGCCCATCTCTACTTATATAGTTGGGTGGGCGGGATTCCATAGGAGCTTTTCTCTGTCATTATTTGCAAAATGATGAGAATGTGCATGTTGGGATCACTGCAATAGAAGTAAACATAATTTTCCTTACCAGTGGAAATGGAGTTTCAATGAAATCTGGTTGAGATATTGGAATTAGTTTGAAGAGGAACCATAACATCACTGAAACAATGACATTTTAATCCTATGGTTAATGTGTGGCTAAGCCCAAAGGTCTGTCTTTTGACTCAGACAAGAAGATCAGAGCATGTTATTGTGGGGTAGTCGTCATCTTTATCAGTTATTATGTGTTTCCCAGCTCCATTCACAATTACGTTACCGACCTAGACAATCTGGAGCCAATTCCTCTTGAACTGCATTTACTCCATGATCGCCATATTAACAAACTTTCAAAAAGATGGCACCTAGTACTGGTAGACTAATTGAGCCTTCATTCTATGTATAGGTTTTGTTTTTAATCTTTTTAAACAGTGAGATAACCTCTGATACAGTTTCTTGTATGTAAACTGCTGTTAAATAAAGCACCTAAAATGTTCTTATTTTCATTTATTTATTTACTTACTTACTTACTTACTATATTTATATCCCACCCTTCTCGACCCCGAAGGGGACTCAAGACGGCTTACATCAAGGCAGCTTAATCTCATTATATGAAGAGACAAAGATTACATAGGCTCGTAACCAACTTGTCATGATATTCAGGGGAAATGGAGTAAGGAGGAAATATGATGATGATTATTATTATTATTGATTATTAACTTTATTTGTACCCCGCTAACATCTCCCGAAGGACTTGATGCGGCTTACACAGGCCAAGGCCTCAATAAAACAGCAATATAACAAATACACATAAATCAAAAGCAAATCAAAACATTAAGCAATAACAGTAAAAACAGTACACCATAATAACACAATAAAAAACTAGGCCGGGCCAAATGTGATGAGTACAGATTAAAAACTGCTGGGTATGCTGAGTGAGATATAAGGATTTTTGGATAAGTGCAATGTGCAGACAATTTTAATCACTAATAAAGATAGCACATTTAGGTTGTGATCTTGTTAACAGCAGCAGGAGTAAAATGGCTTCAGGTCCTATAGTGATTTACAGATGAATGTGGTATGGGATATCATGTCTTTGAATAGTTTATAAGCTGGAAGGACAGCTTTGTTAAGTGGTGAATGTAGATTTCTTTCCTATTCTCTCACCACAGTGCAAACATTCCAGTTTGTTCTTTATGGAGTATTGCATTGGCATAACTCACCAACAGGATCCTAGCCTTGGTAATCTTCTGTCATATCCTTTAAGGTCTTTATCTGAGCTTTCCTCCAAGTGCTCCAGTAAATGAGGCGAGTATGTGGCTATAAGTGAAAGGGTCTTTTCAGTGATAGCATCCCATCTGTGGAAACATTTTCTCCAGAAAGCCTCGCCTGGCACCTGTCCCATGCTCTTTTTGACAACAGATGTAGATGTTTTTATTCTCTTGGACTGGCTTTTGGTGTTCTAGATCTTGACACACTTCTATTTCACTGATGTTTTTATGTCAGGCAGTGTCTTCGACAACACAGTGTCTTCACCAATTATTACTTGGTTTTCTTGTTTCTTCTTTTTATTCATCAGCTGCATTCTTGTTTTGAAGACTAAATCCAAGTCTGATGTCTACTAGAGTACACTGTACTCATTGAATCAATGGGATTTTAATGAGTGTTGACTTCAGTTTTTGATAGTTGATTCAGTAGATTTATTTTAGCTAGGATTGGCCATGTGTTTATATATTACATTTTGTATGCTGTGTTGAGATCTGTAGTTCTATGTTTATGATAATTGGGTATAATTAATTGCTATTGTTTTAACTCTGTATGTATTTATGGTTTTATACTGTGTTATTGATTGTGGCATCGAATTGCTGCCTTTGTTAGCCGCTCTGAGCTCCCCCCCCCCCCAGAGGTTGAGAAGGGCAGGGTAAAAATGCTGTAAAAAGTTCTAAGATTGTTTAAGGACACAGACATTACTGAAGTGAATCAGAGTCAGCAGCTTGATTTCAATTAAGGCTGGTATATCTAATTCTGCATAGAATCAGGCTACCTGTTGAGGACACACAATTCACACCCTTATTGATTGTGCCATCAATATTGACCAAACTCCTATTATTACTGTTGTTGTTGTTGTTGTTGTTGTTGTTGTTGTTGTTGTTGTTGTTGTTCTGTGATACATAACAAGATTAGTACACAGCAAACAATATCACTATGCTGGCTTTTGTATTTATTTATTTTTATTGTTGTTGTTATTGTTGTTGTTGTTGTTGTTGTTACAAAGTCTGGATGGCTATCTGTTGAGGCTTCTTTGATCTTGCTTTTCCTGCATGGTAGAAAGAGGTTGGACTAGATGGCCCCTGGGATCTTCCAACAAAATACAGTTAATTTATGTTGATTAAAATTGTTCTTAATTTTAAATATTGTATTGTTCTTTCTTTCCTCTTTGGTTTTTTTTTGGGGGGGGCACTACACACATGATATGTGCAGTGTGTATAAGAATTTGTTCATTTTTTTCAGTTAGTTCACGCAAACACTCCGTATCCATCTGCCACTGGTCCAGCCCATCTGTTGGCCCAGCCTGTCTGTTTTAAACACCATGTTTGATATATATATATATATACACACACACACACACACACACACACATACATATACATACACACACATACACACACACTAAACATTTCTTGGGGCTCCACAAGAGACTTCTGTTTCAAAAAGGCTCCATGGCTGAGAACCCCTAATTTACAGGATAAATGGAGCCTTGAATAAGGGAAATAAAGACCAGGGAGATTGTATCATGCAATCTTTCCTTCTGTAAACAAGCAACCTACAGATCCAACCAATACCGGTCTGTAATCCTTAACTCATGGCAAAGCCCACAGAATATTGGCTGCCTTAATTTTGAGTAAATATGCATGGTATGTTAGTGAATGAAGCTGTGAGAAGGTCTGCCATGTTGTTAGATATGAATAAATTCTGAAAGGGACAGATGTTTATCTGGACTCCATCAAGAGGGTGAAAGTTTACAGTAATAGAGAGAGGGGATATATTTTATTAGTCCAGATTATCTTTCTGCAGTTGGCTGTGTTGTAGGGAAATGACTGAATGGCCCTTAAAACTGCGCTGGGGAACTCCTAGAAGAAAGTTGTTTGCTTAGTCTAGTTGGAACTGCTTCTGTCATTGCTTTGATACTCCTGGCTGCAAAACCACATGAAAATGAAAGCTGAGGAGAAAGGGCACTTAATTTTATAAAAGTTTGTGTTCCTGGAATGACTTCCTAATTTCCCATGTATTTTAATCAAATATTTGTTTTATCCAAATGGGGAGCATATGCAGTTTATATAATAATGTTGTGTTGAGTTTAAAGTCGGGTTCTGTATGCTTTGCTGTATCCCAAAGCATAAAAATAAAAATCTTTATCCCACATTTAAAATTGATTATCTGTATGAATAAATATTTGGGCTGTTTCTCTCTCTATGTGTGTGTGTGTGTGTGTGCGCGCGCACATGTGTGTGTGTGACTGTTATGCATACTTTAAATAAGCTTTGTGAAGGATCATAGATTAGTGCTAGAGTATATGCTTTTCATGTGGAAAGTCCCAAGTTCAGGTAGCACCAGAGATTAGAAATATAATTATCAAAATCCCCTAACCAGCATGGCCAGTGGGGATTTTTGGAACTGTAGCTTTAAAAAGTAACTTTTCAAGCCTCTAAGTAGGGCAAGAAAGTACTCTGGCATGAAACCTAGAAGAACCACTTTTACTTATTGTTCTGTGCTTTCAAAACAACTTTTATTTATGGTGACCCTATAACATGGCCCAGGCGACGTCCAACAAGAGCACTCCAAGGAAGACACTGCTCAGGTGTTTCAAAATCAAAGATGTCATTACAAGCAGAGAGGCTGAATTATGTGCTGGGCATCAGGCAATGATCCTTGAGAATCCGTGTGTCCAGCTGTTTCTTTTTAATATATGTTCAATCAAACAGAGAGCCAAGAGCAGCCAAGAGTCATAGACTTTAAAGAAACAGTTCACATTTCCAAGAAGCCGAGATACCATGTTTATGTAACCAATTCCAATTCATTTTAACAGAAACATGAGCTCTGCTGGCCCCGAGGGGAGGAAAAAGATGAGAGAATGTGATGGATTGATTGAATCACTCGTGTATTACATCCAAGGAACCACGGCAGACCACCAGCCAGATGATAAGGTAGGTTGATGAAATTAATGTATTTTCTGAATCTAGAAATGGGGACCATTGATACTTTACCTGGAATTCATTGGGCGCCATACTAGCATAAATATAATCTGTACAAATTGCTGCATTTTCTCATAGTTTGTTCAAGCCAAAACCTTATGCAGCCCATGGTTTTGCAAGCATGAGGACATCCCTTTCTCTTGCATTTAACTTCGTGGATGGGGAAATAATCCTCTATTGTATATTGAATGAGCTCAAGAACCTGGCATCCATTCTACAGTCAGCTACTCAGCTGTGAAATCCAACAAAACAACACTGGCACATATTCATTTGTAGGAATGTGGTTCATAACACTATGTAAGAAAATTTGAAAAATGTTATGTTCCTGATTTGAAAGTGTTATTTCATGTTTAATTGTGTGGTACTTACTTTGAAAGTAGTTGTTATACTCAAAAAACTTTGTTTTTGTAGCTGCCATGAACTATGTTGAATTGGTTGAGACTCGATGAGATATTGATTGAAAAGCTATAGCAAAATGTGCTGCAGAATGTTCTGCAAAAACAAAAAAATTGCAGTTTAATAAACTTTTTCCATGTTTTTATGATACAACCAATTCGGAAATGACATTTATAACCCAGGAACAAAAATTGTATTACATAGTGTAATCCCGAAAAGACTACTCCAACACACGCTACATGGGATTGCCTTCCAAGACTGTTCAGAAGCTTCGAATGGTCCAATGGTTGGCAGCCAGGTTCCTCACTGGAGGGGTGTACAGGGAGCATACAACCCCCCTGTTACGTCAGCTCCAGTGGCTGCCAGTTTGCTACTGAGCACAATTCAAAGTACTGGCTTTAACCTGTAAAGCCCTAAACTATTCTGGCCCAGCTTACCTGTCCAAACGTATCTCCCTCTATGAACCATTGCTGAGATTAAGATCTTCTGGGGAGACTCTGCTCTTGGCCCCATCTCCTTCACAGGTACGGTTGGTGGGGACGAGAGACAGGGCCTTCTCAGTGGTGGCCCCTCAGCTATCGAACTCCCTCCTTGGTGATATTAGATCAGCCCCCTCTCTCCTGGCCTTCAGGGAAAAAAAGTGAAAATGTGGCTTTGTGACCAAGCCTTCAGATAATAATTGTAGTGCAATAAATGGATACAGAATATGCGCAATGACTACTGGAATGTCCCCAGATTACGATTGTGGATGGCATGGTTTTAATAGTTGATTTAATGTTTTAAATATTTTAATTTGTTGTTTAATTTTAAATGTGTATTTTAATTGTATGTTGTTTTTATGCATTGAATAGTTGCCTGTGGTTAAAGCTGCCTTGAGTTCCCTTCGAGGTTGAGAAGGGTGGGGTATCAATATGGTAAATAAAATAAATAAATACATAAAATTTTACTTCCGTTTATTATTATTAACTATATTTTATTATTGTTCATATACCAATGAATACTAAATGTATTCAAATTTGGACCTAAAGGCCCATACACCCCCTTCCAGCTCTGTGATTCTATGGTATCAATATGATATTATGTTATTAAACTAAAAAAGAGCAAAAGTGGTTATGATGTTGACTACCTTATTAATTGTGTAAAAACATTATTCTATTTGCTCAAGATTCTTGAGTTCTATATGAAACAGGAAGCATTTGGGGGTACTTTTCACCTTACTAGAAAATATCTAGTGAGCAGTACAATAATCCACAGTCTATCAAGGCCTTAAAAATTCCAGACATGCAAGTGCCTGTAACCAAGGTCTCTACTTCTTTCTTCCTGTTGTTTATCGAATAATGCAAATTTCTTTATTCTTTCAGGCCACTGAGAACTGTGTGTGCATCCTTCATAACCTCTCCTATCAATTAGAGTCTGAGCTTCCTAGTAGTTATACCCACAATATCTATATGCAAAAAAGAGATGTTCCTTCCAATAACAACAGCATTGGATGTTTTGGAACCAAAAGCAGGAAAGCAAAGCAGGTAATGTCTGGCTAAGGAAGCAGCAGTAACTCAGTATAAAACAACTCTTATTCAGAATGCTTGGGACCAAACGTATTTTCGATTTTGAAATTTTTTCCAGATTTTGGAATTCATGTATTACCATATATGTATATAATGATATATCTTGGAGATAGGACCCAAGTCTAAACACGAAATTGGTTTATATTTCATGTACATCTTACACACACAGCCATAGGACATTTTATACAATATTTTAAATAATGTTGTGCATGAGACAAAGTTTACGTACATTGAACAATCAGAAAGCAAAGATATCACTCTCATAGCCACCTCTGTGGACAGTTTTGGATTTGGGGATATTTTGGAAATCCAGATCAGGGATACTCAATCTGTAGCAGAATTTATGCATCACAGGCTGAAGGGTTCCAGATTCAACCATTGACATCTTCATTAAAGACGGGGAAAATGTATTTCTGTAACACTAGTGCCAGGGTGGGAATCATGCAGCCCTCCAATATTGTTGGACTGCAACTCCCATGATTCTTCACCAACGGCAATACTGGCTCCGCCTGATAAAATTTTGGTCTAGCAACATCTGCCTGAATACATTTTTGCGACCCATGCCCTAAAGAACTGCTACTACTCACCTTAGTTTGGGGATCTCTGGACTAGAAGAATGATTTCAGCAGGTCTCTTCTGACCCAGTGACTGTCGTAAGACAGTATGGTAAAATGTGAATGCCAACATGGTGTGCTGATTTGAGTATTGAATTATGACTCTTTGAACCATGGTGTGAATCCCCACTCAGCCATGGAAAGCCAGTGGTGAGCTTGGGCAAGCTACACTCTCTTAGCCTCAGACAAAGGCAAAGGGACCCCTTCCACTACCACCACCAAACAAATCTTGCCAAGAAAACCTTAAGGCCGCTATAAGTAATAAACAAGTTGAAGACACACAAGAACAAAAAAATGGTGAGTTGCTGGCTGGAAGAGAGCTGTAATCCCCAAAACATTTCCAAACTGTTCAACATGGCTATAGTAGGGGTCACCAGGAGGCAAGGCTTTACTGACATGCATCATATACATGACTGATAGACATCAATTACAGGCTTATTCTTCTAATCTTAGCAGGTCACTGATCAGTCTGTTTCAAAGAGGCTAGTCTCTTGTTCCTAAATTGCTTTGTTCCTTTAATATCTTTGTGTCTTTAGAAGCAGCAGGACCTGCCACTCCCTGAAGAAAAGAGTGTCCCCAGTGGCATTGAAACACTCTGGCATTCCACACTGATAAGAATATACCTGTCTTTAATAGCCAAAAGCACAAGAAACTACACCCGGGAAGCCTCACTGGGAGCTCTGCAGAACCTCACAGCAGGCAGTGGCCCAGTAAGTAAGGGAGACGGGGTTGTTGCCTTTCTTCAGCAGTAGCCTGGTGATATTTTGAGTACGGGGGCTTACCACATGAACACATACTAATTTTGACTCCCAGTTTATAAGGAGCAATGGTTGTCCACAAGTTCTGCTACTGTGGTGGTTTTCAGCCTCTAGTCATCCAAGTGCTGGACATCAAGTCCCATAAGTCCAGATCATAACAGCTAGTGGTGAAGAATTTGGGAGTTAAAGTGTAAAACATCTGGATAATTAAAGGCTGAAAACCACTGTGCTAACGGAAACTTATTACTGGACTGAGTATGTGATCAGAGGTGTTGTTGTTGTTGTTGTTGTTGTTGTTGTTATTTATACCCTGCTTTATCTCGCCTTCAGGAGACTCAAAGTGACTTAACATAAAAACATTAGCATACCATTTAAAATATATGAATATGTACGGATCTTTCCAACTCTGATGCAACACCAGTCTAGGGTCATATAACACATTTATGCTGATTTAAGACCAATTTAACTGGCATGGGTTCCCACCCCTAAAAATGTAATTTGATAAAGATGATTAAAATCCATACCCATGTTATAGAACTACAATCACCCAGGAAATAAAAAAATTACAAAGTAATTTATGTTTTTTTGATATGGGCATGCTTTAACAAGTCTTCAGTCAATCATTGACAATCAGTAGCAACATTTTCCACTTAAAATTAAAAGGATGCTTTGCACTGCTGTTGAATGTACCGGTTCTGAAAGCTGTATGTGTTTTCTGACAGATGCCATTTGGGATAGCCTATATTATTGTCAAGAAGGCTAATGGACTCCCAAGTATTCGAAACATGCTGCACGTGAGCAGCGCAAGTGTCCGAAAAACTGCTGTTTCTCTTCTCAGGAACTTGACTCGTAACACCTCTCTGCAGAATGAGATAGGTAAATATATAAGGGTTAAATCCAAATCAGCTGAGTGTTTCATGAATGTTGATTATATGGCAATATATCAACCATTTTAGTCAAATAAATGCCTTTCAGCAAAGCTAAAGCTTTACATCAATAGTGTGTCACAGTGTGAGTGTGTCAACTGCATATTTTCCTACTGTTTTCTCTCTAAGATTATATAAACATAATTTCTTTGGTGATCACTCCCTGTGACCTATTCTGTGTCTGTGGGTCCTACTTGATGTACTGGATTTATATGCTGTTCATGAATTTATATGTGAGGAGTCTGACAAACATAGACTTAATCCATGTAATCTACATAAAATCTAAATCAAATTGATATTCTCAACTGCTATATACACAATGAATGAATTGCTGAATGATATCACTATTTGTAGATGGGATGATGACTTCAAGCCAATTGCAAATATCAGTTCTATGTGTTTGTGCATGTGTGTGTGTGTGTACACACACACACACACACAGTCCCCAAGTTACAAAAAAAATAGGTTCTGTTGAAACCAACATACAAATTGAATTTGTATGGAAGTCAGAACAGGTACATTTTAAAGTATATGTGTGTGTGTTTAGCGAGAGAGAAAGGGGCTTTGTAGTCTTTGTTTTGCTGTCTTGTGTCCCTGTTTAGATGATTTCACCTCACTTTCTGTCTCTTTTGAATAATTTGGCATGTTGTGGAAACAAGGATTGGTGAGAAAGCTTCAGTTGAGACACCCTTTTTCCGTGATAACTCTTTCAGGAATGACTTCCCCATCTTAAGGGTAGATTTCTTTCACTTCCTGTTGCCTCACCTTGTTCTTAACTATGAGTTATTTGTAAGTCAGATAACTCATAGTAACTTGGGGACTGCCTGTGTAGATAGATGGATGGACACACACACACACCATATATTTCTAACCACCTGCACAGGCATTGAGTTTTAATGCACACAACATAAACCAATGGAAAGAGATGTGTTGTACTAACCTGAGGTGTGTCTGCAGTGTAGCAATACTGCAGTTTGACACCACCTAACTACCATAGATCAGTGCTGTGGAATCATTGGAATTCACAAAGTCTTTAGCCTTCTCTGCCAAAGAATCTGGTGCCTCACAAAACTACAATCTCCACAATTCTATAGGATTGAGCCATTACATTTAAACTACATTAAGTCTTTTATATGCACCCTCAGTCTTCATTTCTGAATTGTACATTGTATAAGCCTCCAGATTTTAGTAATTACTTTCTCATGCAACTGTGGAGTAATAAGCACACATATATACACTTGTCCGAGCACTCTGCTCCTCTGAGAGAAGTCATCACCACATACTCATTCTTTTAATACTAAAGAATGTGGCCTTGAACAGTTTATTATTGTTTTCTGAATGGTTATCAAGGGCAATTAGTTTTAAGCTGCAGGATGGTATGAATTCATTACATTTCTGTTGGGCTTTAGCAAAGGGCTCTTTTCTTGGAGGGATGGAAACCTCAGACTCCATCCCAATAGCAAGATATAAGTCGTAAAATGTTTGTTTATGAACAGCATTTAATGGGTAATACTTTAATCAGTTAGCTGGTAAGCTTTGTCCTTAAGGACCAGACCAAGGCCATGTTATGTTTGTCTTCTAGCCAGAGAAGTCTTGCCTGATTTGGTTGCCATTCTTCCGGATTCTGTGCCGACAACTGATGTGGCCAATGAGACTACTGCTTCTGCCTGTTATGCGTTATACAACCTGACTCAGAACAACTCCCAGAATGCTCGCCTCCTCCTGAACTCTGATGGGATCTCAAAGATTATGAACATCAGCACAAGTGAAAGGTGCGCCATTTTCATATGTGTCCCTAAAAGGCACAAAACGAACAGGAATCCCAACATGTTTTCTAACTAACCAAAGGGGTAAAGTGGAAAACAGTTGAGCTTAAGGATGACAATATGTTCTCTTTGCCTGTGCAGTTCCATTTAGGGTACATCTGCACCGTGGAATGAATGCAGATTGATCCCACTTTAGCTGCCATGGCTCAATTCTAGTGGAATCAAAATATTTGTGGGGCATTTTGACTTCAGCAGTTTCTAGTGGCTGGGACAAGAAAGTTCCCCCAATGACAGATCAGTAAATTTCCTGGGATATTTTATGCTACTTTCTTAGAGAATTTATGTTATTTTTATTTATTGTGTCAGAAACAAATTGAGGGTACAGTTACAATGTATTTTTAAAAAACACAAAGTTAAAACGTTGCATTATTGTAGGTTTTCTAAGCTTGCCACTTGAAGTGCCTCTGGTGTGGCTGTGAGAAGGTCCTCTATTGTGCATGTGGCAGGACTCAGGTTGCATTGTAGTAAGTGACCTGTTGTTTGCTTAGAGAAGGAAAGCTGCAACAGATAGGCAGCTGAAAATTTGGCACCTTGTATAATATTGCATTAGCAAGTATACATTCAGCCCTCCACATTCTCTGTAGGATCCCTGTGAAAGTGAAAAACTATCAATAAAATATTATATATATATTTAATCAGAGGAATCTCTAGGTTTTCCAGGTTCTCAGGTATGACTTTCTACTCAACTTCCATTGGAAGCTGACTATATATAGAGTTGTGCTAGATGACTTAGAAATCGCTGGGGACCTGGGGGGCTAAACATATCCTCAAAAGTTGAACACACAAATGTAAAGGTCTAATTATACAGGGAGATCTGTGTTGTACTTCTAATTATGAGTGATTTCTGCATGGAAATGTACATTTGTGATGTAGTCCCAACCTGATAAGAAAATGTCTAGATGGGAGTCAGAAAATATACAATTTCGTCCATGCTTTGAATTCCCCCCTCCCCATTCTTTCCATGCTTCTAGTGTATTCCTTTCTCCTATTATATTGTAAGCCTGTGGGCAGAGTTTGTTCTCCTTAACTTTGTTATTGTTGATATGCCAAACCTTTGGGGAAGCTTTATAAATAATGGATTGTGGAATAATCATTGTTACTGTTCTTTTCAGCAAAGCTGGTAGAGCTGCTTCAGTCCTGTTGTATTCTCTGTGGTCTCACACCGATCTTCACAGTGCCTACAAAAAGGTAAGCAAGCAGAATAGCCAGGAGATGCTTTGTTAAAATGCCTACAAAGTTGAATAGCAAATGAATAGATAATCTCAATGCAGTGGTCCATGAGTTCTTGACTGCTAGACTATAGGAAAGAAAGAAACAGTGGTAATCAGCAGACATAAATGTGGTGCTAGTCCCAAAAACATAGGGAGACAATCCTGCCAGTCATTCACACCAGATAGCTCAAGAAACACTTATTTATCTTATTTCTTTTAGAAATCAGGTTAAAAGATTTTTTCGGTTTCAAACTCTTTAAGTTTGAAACACCCAATAAATAATTTTGTTTCTGCTTCTTTATTCCCAAGTGTTCATTATATCTGACACATTTCTACAGTTTTTGCTAATGCATGTATTTAATGGCAAATACATGGCAAAGCTGGCCCTGTACAGATTTAGATTTGAAAAAGGACATGATAGAAAGGATTAGCATGTCTACTTTGTCCCTAAACATCTTTGTTTTTTGAAACAATCAGCAATTTCCCCAAAATAAATATGATAATTAACCAAAGTACTTCCAACTTAACTGAAAATTTCCCAATTAGTTTACTAAAATGGTGTCTCGTTAAAGTTATTTGGCACCTTCTGCCCAGCTATTTTGAGGACTCCAAGGGTCCCTTGGCTTCAATTCCCTTTTTTGATAAAATGTTATTATTTTAAAACAAAAAAAATGCCTCTGTTCGTGAAGAAGTTCATTCGTTCAGTCATCTCCGACTCTTCGTGACCTCATGGACCAGCCCACGCCAGAGCTCCCTGTCGGCCGTTACCACCCCCAGCTCCCTCAAGGTCAGTCCAGTCACTTCAAGGATGCCATCCATCCATCTTGCCCTTGGTCGGCCCCTCTTCCTTTTGCCTTCCACTTTCCCCAGCATAATTGTCTTCTCTAGGCTTTGCTGTCTCCTCATGATGTGGCCAAAGTACTTCAACTTTGTCTTTAGTATCCTTCCCTCCAGTGAGCAGTCGAGCTTTATTTCCTGGAGGATGGACTGGTTGGATCTTCTCGCAGTCCAAGGCACTCTCAGCACTTTCCTCCAACACCACAGCTCAAAAGCATCGATCTTCCTTCGCTCAGCCTTCCCTAAGGTCCAGCTCTCACATCCGTAGGTTACTACAGGGAATACCATGGCTTTGACTAGGCGGATCTTTGTTGCCATTCTGATGTCTCTACTCTTTACTATTTTATCGAGATTGGACATTGCTCTCCTCCCAAGAAGTAAGCGTCTTCTGATTTCCTGGCTACAGTCTGCATCTGCAGTAATCTTTGCACCTAGAAATACAAAGTCTGTCACGGCCTCCACGGTTTCTCCCTCTACTTCCCAGTTGTCAATCATTCTTGTTGCCATAATCTTGGTTCTTTTGACGTTTAGCTGCAACCCGGCTTTTGCGCTTTCTTCTTTCACCTTGATTAGAAGGCTCCTCAGCTCCTCCTCGCTTTCGGCCATCAGAGTGGTGTCATCTGCATATCTGAGGTTGTTAATGTTTCTTCCAGCAATTTTCACCCCAGCTTTGCATTCATCAAGCCCCGCACATCGCATGATGTGTTCTGCATACATGTTAAAAAGGTTGGGTGAGAGTATGCAACCTTGCCGTACGCCTTTCCCAATCTTGAACCAGTCTGTTGTTCCGTGGTCAGTTCTTACTGTTGCTACTTGGTCCTTGTACAGATTCCTCAGGAGAGAGACAAGGTGGCTTGGGATGCCCACCCCACTAAGAACTTGCCACAATTTATTATGATCCACACAGTCAAAGGCTTTAGAATAGTCAATGAAGCAGAAGTAGATGTTTTTCTGAAACTCCCTGCCTTTCTCCATTATCCAGCGGATATTGGCAATCTGGTCTCTGGTTCCTCTGCCTTTTCTAAACCCAGCTTGAACATCTGGCCACTCTCGCTCCATGTATTGCTGGAGTCTTCCTTGCAGGATCTTGAGCATTACCTTACTGGCATGAGAAATAAGGGCCACTGTACGGAAGTTTGAGCAGTCTTTCGCATTTCCCTTTTTTGGTATGGGGATATAAGTTGATTTTCCAGTCTGATGGCTGGAAAAAATATGTGTTTTCCATATTTGCTGGCATATGGCATGCATCACCTTGACAGCATCATCTTTTAAGATTTTAAACAGTTCCGCTGGGATCCCGTCGTCTCCTGCTGCCTTGTTGTTAGCAATGCTTCTTAAGGCCCATTCAACCTCACTCCTCAGGATGTCTGGTTCTAATTCATTCACCACACCGTCAAAACTATCCTCGATATTATTATCCTTCCTATACAGATCTTCTGTATAGTCTCGCCACCTTCTCTTGATCTCTTCAGCTTCTGTTAGGTCCCTGCCATCTTTGTTTCTTATCATACCAATTTTTGCCTGAAATTTACCTCCAATGTTTCTAATTTTCTGGAAGAGGTCTCTTGTCCTTCCTATTCTGTTGTCTTCTTCCACTTCCATGCATTGTTTATTTAAAAATAGTTCCTTATCTCTTCTGGCTAACCTCTGGACTTGCGCATTTAACTGGGCATATCTCCCCTTATCCCTGTTTCCTTTTGCTTTCCTCCTTTCTTGGGCTACTTCCAGTGTCTCAGCAGACAACCATTTTGCCTTCTTGGTTTTCTTTTTCTTTGGGACGTACTTTGTTGCCGCCTCCTGACCAATGTCTCGGACTTCTGTCCATAGTTCTTCTGGGACTCTGTTTACTAAATCTAGTCCTTCAAATCTGTTCTTCACTTCCACTGTATATTCGCTAGGAATGTTAGTGAGATCATATCTAACTGGTCTGTGTATTTTCCCTGATCTCTTTAGTTTTATTCTAAATTGGGCAATAAGAAGTTCGTGATCTGAGCTACAGTCAGCCCCAGGTCTTGTTTTCACCGACTGGATGGATGTCCGCCACCTTTGGCTGCAAAGGATGTAGTCAATCTGATTTCGGTGTTGACCGTCTGGTGAGGTCCATGTGTAAAGCCGTCTTTTAGGTTGTTGGAAGAGAGTATTCGTTATACACAGCGAGTTTTCCTGGCAAAATTCTATCAGCCTGCGTCCCGCTTCATTTTGTTCTCCCAGACCATGCTTTCCTGTGATCCCAGTTGTCATTTGACTTCCCACCTTGGCATTCCAGTCTCCTGTAATGAAAATAATGTCTCTTTTTGGTGTATTATCCAGTAGGTCCTGCAGATCCTCATAGAACTGATCTACTTCTGCTTCTTCAGCAGCTGTGGTTGGGGCGTATATTTGGATCACTATAATGTTGAAAGGCTTTCCTTGCACTCGAATTGAGATCATTCTGTCATTTTTTGGGTTGTATCCAAGCACCGCTTTAGCGAATTTCTTATTAATTATGAAGGTTACTCCATTTCTTCGATGTTCCTCTTGTCCGCAGTAGTAGATCTGGTGGTCATCTGATGTGAAGTGGCCCATTCCAGTCCACTTCAGTTCGCTGACCCCCAGAATGTCTATCTTTAGTCTTGACATCTCGCCAATAACAACATCCAATTTGCCCTGGCTCATAGATCTTACATTCCAGGTTCCTATGGTGTGTTGATCTTTAGAGCATCGGATTCGTCGTTCACCTCCAGTACCGTCGGCCGCTAGCCTTCCTTTCGGCTTTGAGCTAGCTGCGTCATCACATCTGGGGCTAGTTGAACTTATCCTCTGCTCCTCCCCCGTAGCATTTTGGCCATCTTCCGACCTGGGAGTCCCATCTTCCAATGGCATACCGACATATCTCTGGTTGTACTGGTCCATTTAGTTTTCTTGGCAAGGATACTGGAGTGGTTTGCCATTGCCTTCCCCAGGGATCACGCTTGGTCTGACTTCTCTGCCACAACCGTCCCGTCTTGGGTGGCCCTTCACGGCTTCGCTCATGACATCATTGAGGTGCTCAAGCTCCAGCGCCCCGACAAGGCGGTGATCCTTTGCTGGAGAAAATGCCTCTATCATCCTCTAAAGAACATGAGGTCAGCTTCACATGCTTTTCTCAGCTGTGGGCTTTGCACTGGAGGGCATTTTTGTACTAGGAAATAAAAACCAGAAGAGTTTGTTTTACTCCCCTGCAGACAGGAACCTTTCGAGTTTAAAAATATTTGCAAAAAAGAAAAAAATGTGAGGGTGTCAGTACAGTGTGGGTGGAGTCCTTTCAGATCCTAAAAACAGGAGTTAGTGCAGCCCCTCCACCCCTGACAACTGCCCAGCCCTGCTTTAGATCATAATAGTTCAGCTTGTTGATTCCGATTCAGAATTTAAGCCAGATCTATTTATAGATGACATCTGTTTTGACTGACAAAATAGGGATAGGCTCACAATTGTTTTGTTAGCCAGTTTCATCTTAGTAGGTTTGGGAATCATGCAATCTGTGGATCATATACCGTCTGTGGAGGAGTCCTATGCCAGGCCGGGCTCTCCATTCCCCTCCAACCCCATGAAATCAACTTTATTTAGGGGAAGAGAGTATAATTTTCAGCCAAAATAATACCAGAGAATGCAGTTTAGCCTTTTAACATTATTCCAGGGATGCCTTCCTCAAACCTAACAGAATCACTTAGAGGTTTGTTTTTTAAAAAATAACACAAAGGTAGTCAGCAGCTCTCCAAATCCATAGGTTCTGCATCCACAGAGAAAAAATACAAAAAGCAAGGCATGGTTTTCCACTTTCAAAGAATTACACTGATGTATAGGCTTTTGGATCTTTAGCAGCTGGCTCTTCTTGATCTGTAGCAGACCATATAGAGCAGGCATGGGCAAACTTGGGCCCTCCAGGTGTTTTGGACTTCAACTTCCACAATTCCTAACAGCCTCAGGCCCCTTATGTCAGGAGGACAGTCCAAGGAAGGCATGTAGCGGCTGAGAGCCCTCCAGAGCATTCTCAGTTGCTGCCGCCGTCTGTATCACCTTCCTCCTGGCATAATGCCAATAGGACAGCCCAAAGATTGGGAAGGAGGATCAGGGCGGTCGCTGTGTATCCCTCCTTCCTTTCCGCATAAGGATGGGGCAAGCAACCCTGTCCTTATGCTTGGAGGACAACCTGAGGATAACGTGGGCCCTGCCCAGCCCCCTCCTGGCCCCGTCCTCCCCTGGACGCTGCCCCTTGCGTGCAAACAGCCCTCCTCCCTCCCAGCCCAGCCCTCCACAATGTGACCCCAAAGCAAAAACGGTTGCCCATGCCTTATCTAGAAACTGCTTGGTTATAACTCAATTTACTTGTTTCTCTGGTAGATAATCTGGCTTACATGTCAATATTAGAAAAGCTGGATGTATACTCAATAATATCTTTTCTAATAATCGGTCTGTTTCAGTAAGATGGAAATTTGATCCTCAGTGTATGCCTAAAAGCATATAGAGATATAATATATACTGTATTTTCAGAACACAGAATTCAGAACTGTTCTTGATTATTATGTAATCTTTTTTTAATTTTATGTGAAAGGTTAACTTCAAGAAGACGGACTTCATCAATAACCGGACATTAAGAGCCTATAATTCACTAAAAGACTGAAAAGCAAACTACAAGGACCTTAGAGACTGATGAGATTATACAGAACCATTAAAGCCCTATTCTTGGCACTAATTCACCAGCAAGAACTGCACAGCATCCTACAAGGGAGACCACTTTTATATTTTCAAAGGATAAAATATTCTCTGCCTTATTACATTGTTTCTTACTGCTTTTGAACTCAATACATGATTTGTAAATCTCAATGCAACTCTAGTTTCAGTCTAGCCAATAATTTTAGTTTGACAGACTGACAGCAATTATATTGGTCCAGTTTTGGCCACGCCAATTTCCTTGTTTTGTTTTGTACTATGGAAAATTAATAACGAAATAATATGGGTTTTGAAACTTCCTTTTGCTTTCCCGCCTGCTAAAACTGACTATTAATAATACAAAATTGTCTGTGTAGACCTTTAGAAAAAGCAGGCAAATTCTCATAAAACGTTCTTTGGTTATGACATTTTCTCAGGTTGTAATTTTTCAGCAGAATTACTTTGCTTTGTGCATGCATGTTTGCTAAAACCTCATTTGCTAACAGTATGGAATTGAATTCTGTATTGGAAGAGTTATGTTTAAAATACCTACAAAATTAGAATTATGTTTCTGTGGTTTTTATTTAAAGACACTATGAGATCATCAGGTTTATTTTAGACTAGCTGATGTACATGGCATTGCCTAGACTAGGTATTTTGTAATGCTATTTATTAGAAATAGTCACTGATTGGTTTTGAATTTTATGACTGGCTCTATTATAAAGTGAAGAACCATATAATGGGACTATATAGCAAATTATACAGCTAGGGTGCAACTCCCATCAGCCCAATACCTGGTCAGGCTGTAACTCTCATCAGGTTTAAATCTGGCCAGCTGTAACACCCATTTCCCCAGATCTGGTGGAGTGCAATTCCCATCAGCCTCACATCTGTCCAGTATTGAACTCCTATGAACCCTAGATCTGGGTGGCTGGAAGTCGAGAGTCTCACGCTGCTCCAAGGTCTCTGCCAGTCTTTCCCACTCATTTTCAAGTCATTGTTTACATTGTTTGCTTGTCTTACATGCCTGCAGTAATTTCATTTTCTTTACTTTTGGAGGGAGTTGTCTCATGAAGTGCAATTTTAAAAGAATTCTGCACCCGCTTCACTTGATAAAAGAGGCACCATTATTCACCACAATGAAGCACAAAGCAGGATTTTCTCCCTTCCTGAGGGACTGACCACACCTGATGAATTAAGGTCTCCACGGAAAAACTTTGAGTGGACTCTTGGGGTTGCAGCTGGCTCTTTCCCATTCATTTTTCATCACATTGTTTGCTTCTCTCACCCGCTCACAGTATTGTTGCACTTAGTTTGCTTTTGGAGGGACCTGTTCCTTGGAACTTTTTAGGCATTCTGCAGCCACCTCACTTGATAAAAGAGGCACCTTTATGCGCTACACTGAAACACAAAGCAGTTCTTTCTTTCTCCCTCAGACAGACAGCTCATGCCTCATATTGGGCTGAAACTCCCATCATCCTCAGCAGGGGCGGCTCAACCCATTACGCAAAGTAAGCATTTGCAGTATAGTTGATTTTGCCCAGGGGCGCTCTTGAGGCGCTCTTGGGGGGAAATAGACCTTGACATATGCGAGTTGTAGTTACTGGGATGTATAGTTCACCTACAAACAAAGAGCATTCTGAACTCCACCAATGATGGAATTGAACCAAATATGGCACAGAGAACTCCCACGACGAACAGAAAATATATATCAGTGATTGGTTGGGTGGATGGGGGGGGGGGGGCAAAATACTGTTTGCTTACTGCTGAAAATTACCTAGGGCCGCCTCTGATCCTCAGTGTGCCTAGCGTTTTGGCATTTTTTTTACTCATGGTGGTTTGCTAATGTGTGCCACACCAGTACTTGATCATGATGGCTATGTGTGCCAAGTTTGTTCCAGACCCACTGTGAGTGGGATTCATACAGCTCTCTGGAAGTGGATGGACTAGAACCCCCATCATCCTCTGTCATTCCACCCAACCCCACCAGTATTTAAAGTTGGACCATGAAGGGTTTGTGTGCCAAATTTGGTCCAGATCCATCAAGCCATGTAGAATCCTTTGTGGTTCAAATATATACATAAATGAATAAGCATACATATTTTAACTTTTATGTATAGATAGATTGAGGAGGCAACCAATGCAAAATTGCTTCCATTGATTATTTGCCTTTTTATACTATTAGCACCTGTTCATTGCATCCATCTCTGTAATCCTATGACCAAAATCTACAGCACTCATTTGACGCCTGATTTCTGTAAGGTTTTCTTTTACTTATTTGCATGGTAATTTATATATAATGTTTACTAATAGCACTGTTTTATACATGTCTAGTTAAAAGTAAGATCTATTGTGTTCAATGGATTTTAGCTCCATACATGTTTTTATAAGATTGGAGCCTAGATAATTTACCCTGGAGTGGTAAAAAGAAACAAGATATGAATCAGATAGAAATCAAAGATGAACACAAATATGGTGTGCCAAATCTGACATGGAATAAAATTGTGTGAAGAATTTAAAACCATTAGAATTTAGCCCTTTCCCACAAGTTCATTTACACTCAAATAAGTCTTAAAGGTTAGTAAGATGGGATTTAACCTTTCCAGAAGCCATGTTGATCCTTCTTCATTAGGGCTTATAGTTCTATATACTTGAAAGTTTTATCTGTATCTTTATATATTTAGCCTTCTTTCTGTCACTTTACCTGAAACAAACATTGCCTGTAATATCCTGGATTCCTTTTAAAAACTGATGTGACATCAACCATTCTCTAATCTGATAAAGAAAGTGTTCTTAGGGACTATACACCCACACACACGTGTACGTGTACGTGTGTGTGTGTGTGTGTGTGTGTGTGTAAGGTAAAGGTTTTCCCCTGACATTAAGTCCAGGCATGTCCAACTCTGGGGGTTGGTGATCATCTCCAGCTCTAAGATAAAGAGACAGCATTGTCCATAGACACCTCCAAGGTCATGTGGCTGGCATGACTGCATGGAGCGCCATTACCTTCCTGTTGAAGCAGTACCTATTGATCTACTCACATTTGCATGTTTTCAAACTGCTAAGTGGACAGAAGCTGAGGCTAACAACTGGAGCTCACACTGCTCCCCAGATTCGGACCTGCAACCTTTTGGTTAGCAAAATCAGCAGCTCAACGGTTTAACTCACTGCGTCACTGGGGGCTCATATATATAATTTTACTCTTTTAACAACTTTCAGATAGACATCTTGTTGAGTATTTTTATTTCTGACATCTCCATAAATCTTGCTTGCTGTGGGTGGGTGGCGAGGAGTGGGATGGTCAATATCTCCCCTTAAAGTTGGTTGATTTCAAGCTTTTCAAGCTCTTTCCGGTTGCTGTTTTTAGTACATGCAAAAGAAATATTTATTAAGCCTTCCCGCACCCATCTCAACAATGCATCCTTTTGAGGAGGTGCTGGGAGAGTCACCAAAGGATATGATCTCTGAAATTCTCTTTATTTTTATAATGGTGAACATTTTGCCTGCATGAGCCAAAGAAGTGTGTGAAATAGTTTTAAAATGTTTGCAGACCCCTTTATATCTGTCTGTGCTTCTGAATCATACAGCAAGTTAAAAGCCATAGACCATGTAACTGTTTTTAGACATGCTAGAGAAAGGGACTCCACCACATCTATTCTGACATCATTTTTATATCTAACATCTTCATTTACATGTTTGGAATACATGTGAATGAATTTTCATATCTACCAAGATAGTAGTTACGCAAGCTTACTTCCCACAAAATATTGCACACTGCAAAAGGCTGTATTGGCCATCTTCTAAAAAATGGTATCCTCCAAATGTTTTGAAACCGAACTCTTAACTATTCCTGATCATGGGTCATACAGGCTGAAGCTGCTAGTGACTGTGGGCCCTTCCACATAGCCCTATATCCCAGAATATCAAGGCAGAAAATCCCACATTATCTGAGTATGGACAGAGATAACCCAGTTCAAAGCAGATATTGTAGGATTGTCTGCCTTGATATTCTAGGATATAGGGCTGTGTGGAAGGTCCTCCAATTCCAAAGCGTTGGCGGGTGACATAAATGTGACTTTAGTGTCCCATTAAGGAAAGAACAGCTTGTTTTATTATAGGAGGAAAGCCTTTCTACTCGTGCTTATAATACTATTATGTTCCATTGTGAATCACAGAGAAAGACCAACTGGTTTTACCTGTCCTGGAACAACGGCAATGTCCTTTGTCTGTCCACACCCAGTAATAATATATATTCGATGGCTCTTTTTTCGAATTGCCAAATGCTCTTTGGACCCAAGTCAGATTTAATTTTAACCTGATGTACTGTGGTTCCAACGAAGTTGGGGGGTAGAATTTACTTATATTCAAATACAATCTTTTTTGTTATATGGAACAATAAACTGGAAGGGACCTCAAGCCTAATTTTAAGAAACAAACAGGAAGTTGGCAATATGAACTCTTGCGAGCCAAAGGTATCGGACTAACAGAAATGTAGTGCCCGAGCCAAGAGATTTTTCTACATTGTGAAAATGGGAGGTGTTTTGTTTGTATTACTCGGGAGCTACAACTTTATGAATTATGTTTGCAGAAAAGCCCAGGTTTAGTTTATTCCATCTCCCACTAAAATAATCAAGGTGAGAATGATTTGTGTGCATACGCCTTTAAGTTTCCTGTCAATTTATGGCAATTCCATTAATTTTGTAAGCTATTCTTTGATAAAGGATTTTTTTTTCATGTAAGGAGTGACTTGAGAAACTGCAAGTCGCTTCTGGTATGAGAGAATTGGCTGTCTGCAAGGACATTGCCCAGGATATACGTGGATGTTTTGATGGTTTACCATCCTTGTGGGAGGCTTCTCTCATGTCCCCGCATGGGGAGCTGGAACTGACAGAGGGAGCTCATCTGTGCTCTCCTCGGATTCAAACCTCCGACCTGTCAGTCTTCAGTCCTGCCGGCACAAGGGTTTAACCCATGGCACCTCCGGGGGTTCCTGTTAAAGGAATATTCAAAGGTAATTTTGATAGTTCCTTCCTCTGAAAGATAACTTAAAGCACCTGTGGTCTCCCATTCTGATACAAGCCAAGGCTGACCCTGCTCAGCTTCCAAGATCAGTCACGATCTGCCACTTTGGGAAGGGAATTTAATTTTGCCTCCCACAACTTCCTTTCTCATAGATTCCACATGCAAGTTTTAAACTGGGGCTGGAGGGAGGAGGATGCAGAGGGAGTGGGAATGCTTTTTTTGTTTTGTTTTTGCAACAGCAAGCCAAGGCTTGTATGTGCCAAGGTGCAGAAAGCATTATTTGCTATTTAAACGTTCTTTGATGTCTGTCCTTTGAGGGTAAACTCTCCCGAGGCTTGAGGGTGCACAGTTTGGTCTCAGAAGCTGTACTTTGCCCACCTCCACACTGGTTTGAGTATTGGATTAGGACTGTGAGAAGTGAGACTGTCTTGGGCAATATCAGGTCCCAATTGAACAAACCTTGCCAAGAAACCCATGATAGTCACCTTTATGCTTGCTGAGATTACAATTATCATTGCTGATCTACATGATACTGTAATTT